TAAGTAAAATAAACTACTCAAAACTGATGTGTTACACAAACACAGCACAGCCTGAATAAACATACTATCTAGGTCCATAAAACAATGATGTTTATAAATCTAGAGAAAAATATTTTACACCCTTCACAACATGATCAAGTGTCCCAATAGCTGTGCCAGGTTAATAAAAGCACAGAATGTAACAAAATTCTATTCAACATAAAGATACTTATTAAATATTTCTAATTTTTTATTTTATCAAACTAAAAGAAATTTTCTAAATCTTATTCGAAGTCTTTGTCTGTAAGTATTCCGGCTTCTGCTTTTAACCCTGAATTCTTCCAAAGGCTGGTAGCGCACCTTCCTCTCCACTTGTGTCCTCCCCATCAGGCTTCGGCCGGGGCCACTGAGAACTCGGCAGGAAGGCGCCTTCGTACAGCTTCATCAGGTCCAGGAGGGGCAGCTCAGCTGCAGAGGGTTGAGGGCACAAGGGCTGTTACTTTATAACAACTGTCATTTGAATTGGGAAGGAGCAGCGGCCAGGAAAACCACAGTAAGAAGGGCAAGGGGCTTCCTCTCACATGTATTCCTTTTTCCGGCTTTAGATCACTCCTTGGAAAAAGATTACAATGTCTAAAAGCACACTTGTTTTTTCTAAAAACTAAAATGGTTGCCCATTACTGATAAAAGGTGTAAACTATTTTGCTGGGGCGTGCAAGGGGAATCATGAGAAATTACTCAGTAGGCGCAACACACGTTTGGGTCATGACATACCAGAGACCCAGACTTCACCACAACACAGTACAGCCAGGGAACAGCACTGAACTTGCACCCCTGAAATTTATGCAAATTTAAAAATGTATAAAATATTTTCTCTATAAAGATGAGAATCTTTGAAAGAAACTCAACTGTATTCACAAAAGATTTAAAATACCTGAAATAATCTAACTGAACAGTAACAGTATAGACGAATAAATAAAAATGTAAAAAATGAACACCACTGATAGGAAATAACTGATGAAGATGATATATAAAAATATAAAACATCAAAGTAAAAAATAAAAAGCAAAAATGTTAAAAAGTATGATAAAACATAGTTAGGCTTTTTTAAAAAAACACTCACCCTAATTGCTTAAAAAAAATACCACACATTAAATCCCCAATCACAATGGGCAAAGGATATGAAGCTGTTACATACACAAAAGTATAAAGGGCAATGAAATACTTTTTAATTGATCATCCCTGGAAATCAGTGCACAATTTGTTTAGTATAGAATTATCAACCACCTTAAAATCATAACACTGAGAAACTGTTATGAATTAGGTACTCTCACTTGCTGCTGATAATGGCGTAAACTGGCTGGATTTTTCTGGAAATCAACACGGAAAGCTGAAGGGCTTTGGAATCCAATGCCCTCAACCCCATTGTTTCCCCCTTTAGTGAGTCTATCCAGAGGAATGAGAAATGTGAACCCAGATTTCTGTTCAAAGAATGTTCACACAGTGGTAGATCTAACAGGGGAAAACACTTTAGTTGGGCTGCGTACTCGTGATATGTGAGCTTGTCTGCATCTATATTTTATGTCAAATAAAGACTGTTGAGTCAAAACAACAAATGCCATGGACAAGTCCCCTACAAGGACCACATTAAAGGCACTGCCCATTTGGGACTAGCAAAACACCCTTTGAATTCATTTGCTCAGGATGTTAAACATTCGCCACACTGGCTTGATGGACATAGACGTAATGGAGCCCAGTGAAAGTATTAAGTGTTGGCTGTGGAATCCAGGTGGTGTGTCCATGGTGTTCCTAACAAGGTTCTTCACCTTTCCTGTCTGTCTGATGCTTCCAGAGCAAAATGCTGGGCTGCACCACTACAGCATATGACGCTATATATAAGTAGGAAAAACAAGCCAAACAACTGGAAACTTCCAATAACAAGAGAATTCTGTAAGGTGTCTCAGAACAAACAATACACAGAAATCAGCCTCCACATAGATAAATGAGTTAGAAAAATGCAATAGAAGGAAAAAAAACCCATTTAGACAGAAAATTAAATACAGTTGTCCCTCAGAATCCTTGAGGAGTTGGTTCCAAGGACCCTCTCGGATACCACAATCCAAGGATGCTCAAGTCCCTCATATAAAGTAATGTATATTTGCACGTAACCTATACACATCCTCTCATATATTTTAAATCATCTCTAGGTTACTTATAATACCCAATACAATGTGAATGCTATGTAAATAGTTGTTACACTATTTTTTTTGGATCTTTTTTGTAATTGTTGTGCTGTTATTTTGGCTTATTTGGTTTGGGGATTTTTCTGGTTGGCTGTTTGGTTTGTTTTTGTTTGTTTGTTTGTTTTAGAAATGGGGTCTTACTATGTTGCCCAGGCTGAACTTGAACTCCTGGGCTCAAGTGATCATCCTGCCTCAGTCTCCCAAGTAGCCAGGATTACAGGTGTGAGCGACCACACCCAGCTGTATTATTACTTTTTACTGTTTTGCTTTTTTGTTTTTGGTAAATATTTTTTATCTGTAGTTGATCAAATTCATGGATCTGAAATCATGGATATGAAGAGCTAAATATACTTAGAATTAAACTTTCAAAAATGCACCACATCTCTGTGAAGAAAGCTCTCACAAGCTCCTGAAGACCATGAAAGAAGCCTTGACCTGACGAGAGGCTCTGTTCATGGATTCAGCTCGACACCATGAAGACAACGGGATGCCTGAGAACCCACCTCCTGTAGTTTACTCCTGGCCTCTCCCACACTGACCTGGCCTGACCAATGTGACCACCATCTGGGAGAAAGACAGCACGTGACTCCAAGACTCAGTTATAAAAGATACTACAGTGTCTATCCTGCTCCCACACGGACACTTGCCCTGAGACACCAGCCCCAAGTCAGGAGGACACTAAACCTGCCCTCAGCATGCAACAGAGCCCATCAGCTGGCAGAATGAACCAGCCCGGAATGGCATCCTCCAGCCTGCCACATCAAGCCTTCTGAAAACCATCTTCACAGGAGACCTACGCCACAACCACCCAGCAAGGCTGCTCCCAAACTCTGCCCCAGAGAGAGTATACAGTATACAGCGCTGATTTAACAGGTAATCTAGTAAGTCAAGAACGCACACCACGATCAGATAGCCACCGCAACAAGAACACAGAAAGCTAACAGAGAAGAGGAAATGAAGTAACTAAATACTTGACTGATGCTTTAACCAGAAAGAGATGACTAAAGAACAGGTGAGAAAACACAAAATAAATTTTTAAATTATGATAGATCTAGGCCCAATTATTAATAGAACAGGCTTAAATTTAATACAAATGTACTAAACACTCCAATTTAGAGACACAGGGATGTTAGAATAAACTGGAGGGCAGAGAAGACCAACTACAAGCTGTTTACAAGAGACATGCTTTATAAAAGAACACAGATTAGAAGTTAACAGAAACTCCCTCTAGAGGAAACTCCCTCAGTGTCAGGCCTAAAATAACTGCCACAATAAACTTCCAATAAATTGTCAAAAATCACAAAGTACACTAGGAAGCAATGTACCATCAGCAGAAACCAGGATTCATAAACGACAGCAGAATCAGACCTGCAAAAATGTCACCCATGCAATTATCAGGCACAGATTATAAAATTTTATATCTGAAGAAATAAAAGAGAAGACTGAAAGTGTGAATGCACAGCAAGAGATAATTTTAAAATTTCATGTAGGTTTTCTTAAAAACCATTGGGAATGTCTTAAAACAAACTGGTAACTGGAATTTAACACTTAATCAATGGGTTAACGAAAGACTAGGAAGAGCCTAAAAGAGAACTCATCAAATAGAAAACAGATGTGATAACATTATCTAGAACCAAGTAAAAATGAAGTAACAGGATAACAATCCTAAATCTATATATGCACATACTAACACAGCCTCAAAATACATACAATGAAAACTTGACAGAAACTTAAGGAGAAACAGGTACTCATTATCATAATGGAAAATTTTAACATACTTCTCTCAGTAATTGATAGAGCAAGAAGACAAAAATCAGTAAGGATAAGACGAATCGGATAATGCAATCAACAAGTTCTACCTGGTGGACTCAGAGAGAAAAGGGTACCATAACCTGATGAATTCATGTTGTTTTAAAGCATGTATGGAATGTTTATAAACTGGTCCATTCAAAACCCACCTCAACAAAATCCAGATCAGTAAAAATCCCATAAATCCACTGTCTGATCAAAATGCAATTAATGTAGAATAATAGTAAAAATATATATTGAAAACCCTGTATTATTTGGAAATTAAGAAACATCCTTCTAAATAACTCACAAGTCAATAAAAAATATATATATATAGGGGAAATCAGAAAATATTTAAAACTGAATAATAAGCATGATATTCAGCTAAAGCAGTATTACAGAAAAATTCAGACCCTTAAATGTTTATATTAATGAGCTAATGAAAATTAGTAAGTTAGTCATCCAAGTTAAAAACTCAGAAAAAGATGTTTTTAAAAAAGAAATACTAAGGGCAGAAACAAAACAGAAAACAATACACAGGCGTCAGGTAAAAAAAAAAAAAAGAAACTGACAAACTTTTGACAAGACTATCAAGAAAACAGAGAGGCTTAAATACACAGTATTAGGGGAAAGAAGGGACATATGTACAAACGTAGCCAAGATCGGAAACACTGTAAGGAGAAGTTATTGACAATGTATGCCAATAAATTTTAAAATTTAGATGAAATAAAGAAATTCTTAGAAAATGTGACTATCAAAATTGACTATGAAGAAAAGAAAAAGTCATATTCCTCAATTTAATGCACAAGGGCCAGGCGCGGTGGCTCACACCTGTAACCCCAGCACTTTGGGAGGCTCAGGTGGACAGATCACCTGAGGTGAGGAGTTGGAGACCAGCCTGGGCAACATGGCAAAACCCTGTCTCTACTACAAATATTAAAAAATAGCCAGGTGTGGTGACAGGTGCCTATAATCCCAGCTACTGAGGAGGCTGAGGCAGGAGAATTGCTTGAACCCAGGAGGCGGAGGTTGCAGTGAGCTGAGATCACGCCACTGCACTCCAGCCTAGGCGACAAAGCAAGACTCTGTCAAAAAAAACAAACAAAGCATGCAATACCCATCTACAACAGAAACACTGAAGAGTAGATACGAACTTCATTAATCTTATAAAAATATTTACAAAAACTCTATACACCATGTCCATTCTGGAAACACTAAACATATCATCACAGTCATCCTGAGAGCAGCAGTGAAGAGCACTCCATAGGACACGTCAGGCCAAGGCTTCCACACACTGTAGATCCTCAGAACAACCCTGGTTATCCCATTTACAACTGAGAAAAACACCACGGAGAGCTTAGACAACCTGACCGAGGCCATGGGGTCAGTAGGCAACAAACATTAGGTTTGAACCATGCAATTATGACTCAACACTCTAACACTCTGCCTTTCTACCGAAAGTGTTCCCCTTCAAAGCAAGAAAAAGCCAAAGTTGTCCACCACTAGCATGAACTCAACACTGTACTGAAAGTCCCACCAAGCACAAAACGGCAAGAAAAGGTAGTATAAAAGGAATAAGGATTATAAAGGAAAAACTCTTTCTTCAGAGAAGTATACAAAGACTTTGCATACAAGACTGTATGCAAAGAATTAATGAACAGAGTTCAGAAAAGTTGGCTGGGTGCGGTGGCTCAAGCCTGTAATCCCAGCACTTTGGGAGGCCGAGACGGGCAGATCGCGAGGTCAGGAGATTGAGACCATCCTGGCTAACACAGTGAAACCCTGCCTCTACTAAAAAATACAAAAAACTAGCTGGGTGCGGTGGCGGGCGCCTGTAGTCCCAGCTATTCGGGAGGCTGAGGCAGGAGAATGGCGTAAACCCAGGAGGCGGAGCTTGCAGTGAGCTGAGATCCGGCCTGGGCGACAGAGCGAGACTCCGTCTCAAAAAAAAAAAAAAGAAAAGTTGCTGAGTATAAGAGAAACAAAATCGACTGCACTGACACGTATCAGCAATATATTTAAAATATAATTTTAGAAAATATACCACTTGGCACAACTTTTAAAAATATATAGTACCTAGAATTAAATTTAACAAAAGAGACACAATCATCAAATTTCACGGAAAGCTATTTAGGAAGACCTAGCTGAATGGAGAACTATATTTTCACCATAGACTGGAAAGGCTGAACTTCATAAAGATGGCAATTCTCACAAAGCATCCATTAATACAATTAAATTCTAATCAAAATTCCCAATAGGTTTTTCTGTGAAGCTTGATGAGCTGCTTCTAGCACGGATCTGAAATAGTCGCCAAACAGACAAGATCCTCCCAACGCAGAGCAAGGCAGAGAACCTACCTGACCAGACATCGAGAACCATTATAAAGCTACAGTAAGAAAGACAGTGTGGCATCAGTACAGACTGGCACAAGTTTTCCAATAAAAGAATAAAGATCCCAGAAAGAGCCGTGCATAAAAGGAAACTTGTTTTATGTCTGAGCTGGCATTGAAGATCAGTGGGGAAAAGACTGGCTTTTCAATATGACTTTCCAAACATACATTTGGGGGAAAAAAGGGAAACTGCACTCATTTCACAATGTAAGAGTAAAGCAGAAAAATTCTAGATGATATATCCTTGTGAACAAGACTGACAAATTCAACTACAGTAAGTCCTCACTAAACATCATCAATAGGTTGGTTCTTGGAAATTGTAACTTTGAGCAAAATGATGTATAGCTGATCGGTGGACAGCCTGGGCTGGAACTGTGAGGGTCCTCTATCCACAGCAGGACCAACCCCTCCCCTTCCCCCTACCCCACTACCTTCTTATCCTACGCAACGTGAAGGTGACGAGGATGAAGACCTTTATAATCATCCACTTCCACTTCACAGTAAATGTATTTTCTCTTCTTTATTTTTTAACAACAGTTTCTTTTCTCTAGCTTATTTTGTTGTAAGAATACAGTACATAATGTTAAATATACATAACATATAAAATAGGCCAGGCACAATGGGTCACACCTGTAAACCCAGCACTTTGTGAAGCCAAGATTGGAGGCTCACTTGAGCTCAGGAGTTTGGGACTAGCCTGAGCAACACGGTGAAATCCCGTATCTACAAAAAACACAAAAATCAGGTGGGCATGGTAGCGTGCACCTGTAGTCCCAGCTACTCGGGAGCTGAGGTGGAAGGATCATCTGAGTCCAAGTCAAGGCTGCAGTGAGCTGCGGTCCGCCACTCACTCCAGCCTGGGTGTCAGAGTGAGACTGTGTCTCAAAAAAAAAAAAAAAAGAAAAGAAAAAGAAAAAAACCACATAAAATAAGTGTTCATCCACTGTTTCATATTATTGATAAGGCTTCCAGTCAACAGTCAGCTGTTAGTACGTTTCGGAGGAGTCAACAGCTATATGCAAATTTTCAACAGTGCAGGTGGCGGGGGCGGGCTGGCACTCTTAATCCCCACATTGCTCAATGGTCAACTGCATAACAAACCAATGTTTTTTCCTCATGGCTATAATAAAACAACATTAATGTAACGCCATTTCACTTCAAGTTGCAGTTTCCAGGAACTCATTGACAACATGAAATGAGGACTTTATGTATGCTGAAATTAAGAACACCTTTCACCAAAAGGTACTGCAAAGAGTGAAAAGACACACCACTAACTGGGAAAATATCACTGCAACACAGAACTGAGCAAGAATTCATGTCCAGAATATATATAAAGACCATCACCAACAAGTCAATACGGAAAGAAAACACCAAACTGAGCCAAAATGAACAAAGGAAGAAACATGAAAAGATGCTTCACTTCATCAGTTATTAGAGAAGTGCAACTGAAAACCACAAGGAGATACCACTTTTTATCCCCAGAGTGGCAGACAATACCAAGAGTTCCTGAGATGTGTGACAGCAATGAAAGAATAGCAATAAAATTAAATCTATGTAATTCATTTTTTAAAAAAGAGTTCCTTCCTGAGATGTGGAGTCTGGCACACCCACTCTAAACAACAGTTACTCTCCTGCCCCTGATCACAGGCAAGCCACTCATGCACACGTGCCTGGGGAACAGGAGAATGCTCACAGCAAACACAGGGAACCAGGTGAATGGCCACCAACAGCACAAAACATAGTCAGTGACATATTTACAATAAAAATACTGCCTGGCAAAGACAATGAATGCACTGACAGCAACACATAACACTGCGGCTGAACTCAGGACACACAGGCTGAGTAGAGACAGCAAGCCCGTCAGGCTGTGGTGGGATTCGTTCATACGAAGCTCTCACACATGCAAGACCAACAGTACATTCAGGGAGACACCTGCAGGTGGCAGGGAAAAAAAACAGTCAGGGCAGAGTCCTACACACAACCCCGGAGGGCCAGGATCTCCAGGTCAGGAGAGAGACAGCAGGAGGCACCCAGGGACTGTTTTCCATAAAACAGGCACTGCTGCCTCAACGTATTATTATTCACATCTCACACGTTTTAAATGTTTCTCTGCACCTACTGAATGTTTAATAAGGTAGCAACAGCCTACCTTCCTTGGCTAAATTAGAAAGTTCTGTTTGGTGGTCCACAACGCCTTCGTTTGCTTCCTCCTCTTCAATTGTTTCCTCTTCGTCGTCCACTAAAATGGTTATCAGCGAGCGTCACTGAGAGGCAACACCACTTGCATGGCTGTTACTCATTATACACCATAAGGCTTCGAAATTATTTTGCATAGCTATTAAAGAAATTGAAACTGAGCTTTTAAACTTCTCAGGTTAAATTTGGAAATGATCATTTAATTAATGAGCAGGAAACTGGAAGCGTATTTCCCCTTCCATTTCAGGCTGTGAATGACAGCCCTGGTTTTTCCACACATGGCAGACCTTCTTCAGGCCAACATATGGAATGCTGTCAACCCTCCTACCTTCCTGCAGAGCCCCACTGTGGAAAGCCCACAAGCATGCCATCCGGGATCACTGTGAACTCATCATCGCCATCGCCCATCTCATGAGGCCCAGCCACATCAGCCTGACACTATCCTTGGCTCTCCTGTCCTCCACAATCACCAGCTCAAGCCCGCTCCGCTCTCTTCAGCCCTCCAGCCCTGAACCTCACACCTCACTCACCATAGAGATCTTGGCTCCTGGCAGAGAAAAGAGCAGCAACCAGCAACCCCACAGCCAAACTCCCTCTGTCCACGGATCCTCTCCCCAACTGGGGGCCTGCACCCTCTCTCCTCTCAGCTGGCTCTTAACTTTTCTTCTCACAATCTAACATAACATCTCTCCCTTCCCACCATCAAAACTCCTCATTTCTTCACTACAAGACCCCCACTGCCCACCAAGAAGGCCTAGGCACCTGACCCCAACCACACAAGTCACTGGGCCTCCGGGTGCTGCCTTTTCTGACTGTACTCGACACCCTGGCGGCTCACGACAGGCCTGGCCATCTCCTCTTCTTGGAAACGCCTTCTGCCATTCCTTCTGCCTTCTGATCACTTGGTTTCCAGAGTGGAGAGCTTTGGAAAAGAAAAGTGAAGAAGACCTCGGGCGGTTAATTTGGCCTTCTCTGAGTTATCCTAAGACATCTTTAGGCATTAAATAGAAGCCAAATAAAGGTCTGTTTCAATACAGTTGAGCACCACATAATGACGTTTCTGCCAACAACGGACCGCATATGCAATGGGACCCTGTAAGACTGTAACACTGTATCTTTATGTTAGCTTACCTATGTCAAGATATGTTTAGATGCACAAATACCACTATATTCCAATTACCCACAGTATTCAGGAGAGTCACGTGTGTGTAGGTTTGTAGCCGGCGGCACAGGCTGCACCATCTAGGTTTCAGTGAGTATTCTGTACGTTCACGTAACAACAAAATTGCCCAGCAATGCATCTCTCAGAATATATACCCATTGTTAAGAAACACATGACTGTACACAAATGTGCTCCTGAGAATGTGAGAAAATAAGGAAAGTGGAGATGTCAATCTACATAAAGCCAACCGCAGGTACCAGAGTACAGGCCAGAGAAAAGGTGTTCCTCATGAAGAAATGACCTAATCCTTTTCCAGGTAACAAGAAAGACACAAACCTACGGTACTCTGTTGTGCTTCTCTTGTTGTCTGAAAGGCCAGGGTTCAATCCATCCCCAGTGCAGGATGGTATTATCTAGAATTCAGCACCAGGCCAGGTGTGGTGGCTGACACCTTTAATCCCAGTACTTTGGGAGGCTGAGGCAGGTGGATCGCCTGAGGTCAGGAGTTTGAGACCAGCCTGGCCAACATGGTGAAACTCTGTCTCTACTAAAAATACAAAAATTAGCTGCATAGTGATCCGTGCCTGTAGTCTCAGCTACTCCAGAGGCTGAGGCAAGAGAATCGCTTGGCAGGGGCCTGACAATGCCACCACAATGCCGTGCCAGTGCTGGGCCATGTGCCCGCAGGCTCCTCACTCATCTGCCACATTGCTGTTTCGTTTCTGTCATATGCAGCAGACCTGAATCCCGCCAGTTTCATGCCAACAATCTGGTCAAACTCCCTATTGACTTCCAAATAAAAATCAATACATACCAAAGACCAATCTTCAAAAATTTGGAAAAGTTAACACACTTCACCAAATCAAGCCAATAAACCCACACTGATACTGATCAAAGAGCCGAAGGAGAAACTGCAGGCGTCACCTGGCACCTGACAGGAACCGCCACACAAACACCCAAGGAAGTTCCTCCAGCCTCTCTACTCCTGCTCTCCACTCTGTCTCCAAAAATCCATTCTAGGCCTGAGGACTTCTGTACTCAATCCACACGGGTTTGGAAATAGGTCGTGGCCGGGGCTGTCCCCAGCTCACACACCCAGTGCTCAGGTATCTGTTCTCATCTGAACGAGGTGCCAACATCCAAAATTCACATGAGTTTCTCCTGAAATCCCAATGGCTGGCAACCATGGGTCTACCACAGGACATACCAGGGCCACTTCTCGAGGACAGGAAAAAGCTTGGCCCTGTGCCACAGAAGCATGGGGCCCCAACACTCTCCAAGATGTACCCAAGTTTCCAAACCTCACAAAAGCAGATACAACCATGTTGCTCCAGAAAACATCCCAAGTGCTCTAGAGACACCAAAAAGTACTCTATACACTGAGCGACATCTGGATAAATACAAAAGTTGAACTTTCCAACCAGCTGAAGATGACAAGACTAAACCCCAAGTCGCCACAGCTCTGTGTGATCTCATCAGCAGCGCTGTAGACAACAAAGATGGCACTGAGGGGGAACAGACCTTCGTCATCAGTCAAAGATATGCTAGCTTTTCTTTTTCTTCCAGATATTCCTGAATCCTGAAAGAAAGAAAGAAAAACCACAAGCATGAGATCCAAACACTCAGAATGGGAAACCAAGACAGAAGTGTCCACGGGACAGGGGAAAGCCCCAGGGCAAGCCTGCTGGGCCGCCCTTAGCCTCCATCTGGGGTCGGGTCAGGGCAGGGCAGTCAGGGAGCAAGGACATGATCAATGCTCACTGTGTTCAGCTGTCACTGCCAAATTAACAACGCACGTGAGACAAAGGCTATAAAGCACCAGTATATTTTCAAAGTAGACTGAGTCTATAATGAAAGGGATTAATAGGCCGGGCGCAGTGGCTCATGCCTGTAATCCTAGCACTTTGGGAGGCCAAGGCGGACGGAATGCCTGAGCTCAAGAGTTTGAGACCAGCCTGGGCAACATGGTGAAACCCCATCTCTACAAAAATACAAAAAAAAAAAAAAAAAAATTAGCCGGGCGTGGCAGTGTGCGCCTGTAGTCCCAGCTACTCGGGAGACTGAGGCGGGAGAACTGCTTGAACCTGGGAGGCGGCGCTTGCAGTGAGCTGAGATCATGCCACTTCACTCCAGCCTGGGCGACAGAGACTCCGTCTCAAAAAAAAAAAAGAAAGGGGAGTAATAGTCACAGCCTATAAATTCCTCTGGATGAGAATGAAAAGGCCCACTCCACTGGAGCGGCTTCCACTCCTCACACACAGTACAGCAACAACCCCAAACTTACCAGAGAACTTTCCTGGAATGCATCAAATCCTTTAGGTCTCAATTCTTTCCCTAGAGAGACAAGAAGCACAGTTCATTCCCAAGACCCCCCCATGCTTGGCGAGGGCGCCTCTGCTTTCCAGGCAGGGTCCTGCTGCCTCTACCCACGTGCAGGGAAAGAAGGGACACGTTGAGTTCTGCCTCTTCCTCCCCATCACGCAGGGCAGTGGTTTTTACTATCTTGTGGCTCTATGCCTTTCAGCAGCAGCCACCTCTCAGCCTCAGGTTCCTCATCAATAACGGGGAAACACAGTGCCCACCCTCCTGGGGGCATCCTCAGAGGCAAACGAAACAGTGAATGCTGCCGCCACTGGTGCTGCACATATCCTAAGTGGAGGGGCACATAACAAGTGGAGGGGCACATAACAAGTGGAGGCAGCTGCTGAAGAAATATCAAAGGAAGAACGACATGGAGGCGTCACCCAGCCAGGCACCCAGGGATCCTCCTGCATGGCAAATGCCTCAAGGAGCTCCTCACTCACTGTCCAGGGACTGAACCCCAGTTCTGTGTCCCAGAGTTTATCAACTTTGGGGTGCTGACTCACACCAGCACATCTCAAAAGCACTGAAGCATAAAACTAGGATGGCCACACAAAGAGAAATGTAACAATCAGGCAGCTGGCTGATGAGCAGATGTCCTCTGTGGGAAGCCACAGTGCCAGGAGACTGCCTGCTGAGAAAAGAATCCGAACAAAGCACCACCCAAGCAGTGGTAAGCCTTTTTATAAAGGGTCATACCTCTCCTGGAAACCTTCTGTAAATTTAAGGCTTTCTTCCTTTTTTCTTCTAATTCTACTTGTAGTTTTATTTCCACAACCTAAATGCAAAGGATTAAATGAATAAGGACGTTACTAAGGATGGGAATTACAGACGTTCTGCATACAAAACACTAACACACATAAGCAGAGTCTAAAAACAGTGTTTTCCAGCCCCGTCAGTTTGGTGCTTTTTCATTTATTTCATACTAACTACATCCTGCCCAGGTTCTATAAGGTGGTGAGATAAGAATTAAAATTTCAAAAAAGGAAAGCGAGCGACCAACCGGCCGCTCTAGAAGTAACCATGATGGTGACTTACGCTAACCCTGAAACAACAACGCCCAGAGGCCCTCCACGGCATGAAGCACCTCAGAGGGCGGCCACAGTTGAAGTGCATCAACCGTGCAAGACAGACGGAGGCATGAGCAGCTCATTCAAAGGCCAACGAGCAACAGTCCAGGAGAGTGCACACATTGCCGGCTCTGGCGCTCGAAAGCTTCCTAAGCAAGGTACTGAGCTCTGGTCTCGGGAAGCAGCCTCACCAGCTCCGACAGGCTGACTCTTAGGACCCCATGAAAACTGCGGCACTCGCCTGTTCGATATTCGACCAAAAGCACTCTATCTCGCGGGCCGTGGCGGCGGCTATCCGCCGCAGTCTGCTCTGCTCTTCCTTCTTCCCCCTTTCTTCACGGAGCTGCTTCTCCTCATGATGGCGCACCACAGTTCTAACGAGCTGGTGAACAAAAGTGCAAGAATTGTATGTTTTACTCTATGTCATGTTGGGAAAAAAAGGATATGTAACTTTTTAAAAATCTTCTCAGGCTAAAATTTATACAATTCACTGCCATATACATTCTTGTATGCTCTTAAGGTGGATTGGGAGAAATAGGACTACCAGCAAAAACCACTATCAATATTTTGCTTGACTTTTCTAGAAAGTGTTTTTATTTTTTTCACTAAATACACATTATTTTTCTCAAAACTAGAATACCATATTGTGCTATAATCTTCCTTCCCCGTTTAATAGATGATTAACATCTCTCCATGCAATAAACATGGGTCAGCATCTCATTTCATGAATGCTGCACCAGTTACAGAAATTATTGGGCTGGGATAATTCACATTTTTAAAGCTTTTGCTTTAAATTGTCAAACTGCTTTCTAAAAGTTTAGACACTCCACATACCCACCAACAGAACCTCAAACAGGTAGAGAGAATTAAGATGAGAAAAGCTCCAGAGCCCTGAGAGCACAATGGCTGTAAACCCCCACGCCTGTTCTAGGGATGGAAATGTGCTCAACCACCACCCGGACTCTGCGCACACGCCGTGCTCCCACTCAGCCTCCAGCAGGGCTCACTGTTGTCAATACAGGCCCTGATCAGGGTGGGCTGGTCTGCGGCCTCTCCCTGTATACCCCAGCGAGAGGCAGGAGGCACAGGGAGGGGCAGGCCTGGCTGCAGGTGCATCACTCAGCTGTTGCGAGATGGCCCTGGCCTGCGCCCTGTAGGTCCTGCACTGCTCTTCAGCCAACCCCACCAGCTCCCACTCCAGCCCATCAGCCAGCCCCCATCCATCCAGCCTGACATCCACATGTCCAGCCTGGCATCTACACATGTCTGGCCCCCTGCCCTGTCCAGCCTGGTGCCCACCATGTTCAGGACTATCTTCTTTGTGGAAAGGCTGGTTTAAGGGAGAATCTGGGTTTTTCTGAAATGCCTATGAATCTGACTTGAGACCCCTGACCCTCAGAACCCCACAGTTCTCACCCTGTGGTCTCAGCTTTTCTCGGCCTAACCAACATGAAGAGAGCAAGGGGAAGAATTCAGGGTAGGGAGTGGACAAGGCAGGGGACAGAGCACGAGGCCACAGCCTTAGAGTACAGAAAATATGAACAAGGACCCTACAGCCCAAGAAACAGAGGCGGCGACACAGTAACAAGGAAGACAAAGAAGGGCCACGGCTGTTCACACAGTGAAAGTACAGCTGCTTCCCACTGAAGCCTGGGGTTTCTAGAAATCGACCACTTGTTCTCACTTTTCTAGTGTTAGCAGTAGGGCCTCCAGAGTCTTCCAAGGACTCTGCACCTGCTTTGGCAACAGTTAGGAGAAAATAAATTCTCAGCCGAAACTAAAGAGAAAGCTAGACTAGAAGCCCAGGAGGAAGAGCAGGAGGTGGTGCGGCCAGGCAGGAAAGCCTGGGACAGCCCCTTGCTGCCCCTTGACTGACACCAGGGGCCTTCTAACTCTCAGCCTCTCGGCTCCCTGAACAGCCCCAGCCACCAGCCTGGACCTGTGGCACTGGAGATATCCTAACTCCAACTGGCAGGCAAAGCCAGGCAACAAAAGGAAGCTAAATCCACACCAGTGCAGAAGTGCGGGAGCACAGGCTTGATTCCAACAATGCATGCTGGGCTCTGAAGACACCACCTCAGACTTAATTATACAGCACAGTTATTCTCCAAACAACAGGGAAGTCTCCTTCCCAGACTTCACAAGTCAAGGTCTTCAGAGTGAGTCTGCCAGCACGGTGGTTCACGCCTGCAATCCCAGCACTCCAGGAAGCTGAAGCGAGCAATCGCTTGAGCCCAGGATTCAAGACCCGTCTGGGTATTGTGGCAAAAAACACAAAAATTAGCTGGGCATTCCAGCCTGGACAACAGAGTGAGACTCTGTCTGAAAAAAAATAAGAAAAACAAGTGGGTCTGGAGTCCTGCCCACCATTTACAGCACCGCAAACTCGAGCTCCCACCAACACACACAGCACAGCAGCTCCACACATTCCAACCCACCTTCTTCGCAGCGGCCACCTTCCACCTCCTCTCCTGGGCAAAGTCTGTGGCCATCCACTGCATCTCCTCCAGCAGATAGTCCCAGTGGGCCTTGGGCCGTGGGGCCTCCTGCAGCTTCGGCAGACGCCTCTGGGACCACAGACCTGCTTTCCTCAGCTCCGCGACGCGCTGATGCACCTGGTTCTCCTGCAGGTGATATACGGGGGATGGTGGGGTCGGCATGTGATGAGTGTGTTCCACCAACTCACACACCAGAAATCTGAAGCCCTATTATGTAAAAGGCCCAGTCAGGCACTAGGAAGACAGAAAGCTCAAGGTCCCAGTTTAATATCAAAGGTAAGACTCAAACACAAAGGTCAAAGTGGTTCTAGGAGAAGTCGAGGAGCGTGTGACCTTTCCAGGAGCCTTAAAAGAAGCTGGAGCAACTGTCCTGCCCCAGCTCTATAAAACAGACTAAAACTTTAAAACCTTACGTTTCTACCAAAGTGCTTACAAGGGAAACCATAGGATGCCTGGAATTTGCTTCTAAATAATCTGGAAGGGAGTGGAATAAACGAAATGAGACTAGCTGCATATTGATCACTGTGATAAAATCAGATAATGGGGAACATGGGGTTTATAACACTCTATTTTGATACACGATTCTTTTAATTCCCCTAATGAAGTTGAACAAAATAAATGCTTAGTCATCCAACCCAAAGTAAGTGCTAAGGGCTGGGTAGTGACTCTCAAGGACAGGGCTGCAGACCAGTGGCTGCAGGGACCTCACAGCCTGCAGGGCCCCAGCGTTCAAGCTTGTCCCTCTCAGCCTGACTCCTACACATGACCTCTCCCACCCTCGTCTACTGCCCGTATGAAAGCAGCCCAAGACTGCAGGTTTTATCACAAAAACACAGACTTCCTCCATGAGTCTGCTTCCAACAGAAAAGGCTAACCCTTGGTTTTCATCTTGTCTCTACTGATTCCCAAGCCATGTTGAATTGAGCAGGCATTCAGTTTTACCCTATCACATTCTTGACAATTAAAACTAAATGTGCTTCACCGACTGGAGTACATTTTACAACTTTCTTAAGCGTGCTTACCAGCGTTATCTGTTCTGTCAGCGTATCCTGAGAACTGTCTTGGGACGAGGTGGCATTCTGAGCAGGACTCTGTGGCTTGGTGGGGGCAGATGCCGCCACCCCTGGGGTCCGGGAAGTGACTGGAGACAGTGCCTTGTTGGTTGCTGAGGAGGGTCTATTTATTGGCGAGGACCGAGCAGGTGAGGGTCCTGGGCCGGAGCCACTCACGGGTGCCAGGGACGAGGTAGAAGAGGTGGGCAGAGGCCGTGGGCAGGGCGGGGCAGGGTCCACAGGAAGCCTTGTCGATGCCACCGTCTAAAGGGCAGAGCACAAGTGGAGCAAGGTGAAGAAAAGATGTCAGGGCAGCCCACGGTGCCAAATACCAGAGCACCCACAGCATCAGAGACGCACACTGCCAGTACCTTCCACTCCATGACAATGCAAGCAAACAAATCACATCACATCCACGGCCCAACACTAATGTGTCCACAAACAAATAATACATCCTTCTACTTCCACAAAACCAAACAGGAGTTTTCATCATGAACTGTCTTTAGGCCATGCCCAGTGGCTCATGCCTGTAATTCCAACACTTTGGGAGGCTGAAGTGGGAGGATCGCTTGAGCCCAGGAGTTTGAGATGAGCCTGGGCGACGAAGTAGGACCCCATCTCTACAAAAAAATTTAAAAATTAGCCAGGTGTGGTGGTGTGCGCCTTTGGTTGCAGCTACACGGGAGGCTGAGGTGGGAGGATTGCTTGAGCCTGAGAGGTTGAGGCTGCAGTGAGTCATGTTTGTGCCACTATACTCCAGCCTGGGCAACAAAGCAAGACCCTGTCTCAAGAAAATACAACGTAACGTAACATAACGTAACGTAACGTAACATAACATAACATTCAAATTCAGTGTGCCTCTCTCATGGCAGATGGGCTAAAAGGGTTAAAAAATTCTCCTCAGGCCAGGCACAGTGACTCACATCTGCAATCCCAGCACTTCTGGAAGCCGAGGTGGGTGGATCACCTGAGGTCAGGAGTTCGAGACCAGCCTGACCAACATGGAGAACCCTCATCTCTACTAAAACTACAAAATTAGCCAGGCATGGTGGCGCATGCCTATAATCCCAGCTACCCAGGAGGCTGAGGCAGGAGAATTGCTTGAACCCAAGAGGTGGAGGTTGTGGTGAGCTGAGATCGCGTCATTCCGCTCCAGCCTGGGGAACAAGAGCAAAACTCTGTCTCAAAAAAAAAAGTCCTCCTCTTCGCACCACCTCAACAACAGACTGAATTAAATTCACAGAGAACTGTTGCTGGGGATAGAGAGCAGGGATGATGAGCTGAGTGCAGATTCACACAAGATTCAGCCCGTTCAAAAGCTGAAGGGAGACAAAGAACCGCTAGAACACACTCTCTCTGAGTGACTGTCCCATGGCATGGGTTTCTTTTCTTCACAGCTGCAGCACTGTCCCCCGGCTGGCCACAGGCTTTTGGAAATTTATTAGAGCACAGCCACATCCACTTATGTGCTGTCTGTGCGTGGCTGTGTCTTCACTTCCGCCACAGAAACTGAACAGTCCGCAAAGCCAGAACATTTATTACCTGGCCCTTGACTGAGAAAGTGTGCCCATCCTGCTCAACCTAGAAGTAACAGGTTCCTACAGACTTTGTAAAGGCTTCTTTAAAATCATTTTCCAGGCTGGGTGTAGTGGCTCACGCCTATAATTCCAGCATTATGGGAGGTCAAGGAGGGTGGATTAGTTGAGATCAGCAGTTTGAGACCAGCTTGGCCAACATGGCAAAAGCTCATCTCTACTAAAAAGTTAAAAAAAAAAAAAAAAATAGTTGCCTAAGCATGCACAAGATATTACATGCATTGTAAAATGATCAGTAAATGATTTCCTGTACCGTTGTTCTTAAGGAGATAATATAAAGTCATTTAGAGAGCTAAATTGTGAAATACATCATTTCTCTGCTGGAAAAAAAAAAAAAAAAACTAGTAGGGCATGGTGGCGCACACCTGTAGTCCCAGCTATTCAGGAGGCTGAGGCAGAAGTGTTTGAACCCAGGAGGCAGAGGTTGCAGTGAGCCAAGATCGCGCCACTGCACTCCACCCTGAGGGACAGAGTGAGACTCTGACTCAAAAAAAAAAAGATAAGATAAAATAAAATCATTTTCCACAGCTGATTTTTTCAGTAATTACAGGCAGGTAAATTAAATCTAAGAAAAACCACAGAGCTGCTTTAAGTCAGTATGTGGCTTGATGTGAGGAAGTGTTCAAAATAGAATAATTTCCACAAAAACCTAAAGCAAGCAATGTAAGGCCTAGAAGAGCTCAGTGCCCCGACATGTGTCGTCTATGTAAAGACAGTCTACTAATTAATAGGCTTAGAATTCAGAGTGGGTGCACTAGGGTTCACTGCAGACTTGCACAAAAGGCTCCCAAGCACAGCCCCACCAGTCACTGGCTTTTCTGGCCTCCATTTTTTTAAATCTATGAAATGGAGATAATAAACATTCTACATCATAACGTTGTCAGATAAAGGAAATAAATAATGCCAATAAATCGCTCATCACAGTGCTTGACACCACACCTCACAAGTGATGAGTAAGTGATAGCTATTATCGTTACTATTATTTCATCATTATATACTTAAGACTTTGCCATAAATCTCAAACATAAAGAACCTGCAGGCCGGGTGCGGTGGCTCAGGCCTGTAATCCCAGCACTTTGGGAGGCCAATGCTGGCGGATCACCTGAGGTCGGGAGTTCAAGACCAGCCTAACAAATATGGAGAAACCTCGTCTCTACTAAAAACACAAAACTAGCCGGCATGGAGGCACATGCCTGTAATCCTAGCTACTAGGGAGCTGAGGCAGGAGAATCGCTTGAACCCAGGAGGCGGAGGTTGTGGTGAGCCGAGATCGGGCCATTGCACTCCAGCCTGGGTAACAAGAGCGAAACTCCGTCTAAAAAAAAAAAAGAAAAGAAAAAGAACTTTTAGCTTGGGCAGCATGGCGAAATCCCATCTCTGCAACAATACAAAAATCAGCCAGGTGTAGTGGTGTGTGCCTGTAGTCCCAGCTATTCAGGGGGCAGAGGCAGGAGGAACATCTAAGCCCAGGAAGTAGAGGCTGCAGTGAGCAGACATTGTCCCACTGCATTCCAGCCTGGGTGACAGAGCCAGAACCTGTTTCAAAACAAACAAAAACCCTGAACTCAAAGCCCACCTAGGAAATTCCTTTGTTAGTGAGGAAGAGGGTAAAAGGGAAGACTCTGCAGTGGGCTCCCCACGCCCTGACGTGCATCAAACAGAACTAAGAGGGCTGAGAGCCCTCCCCGGCCTCCCTGTCAGTGCCCTGCTGACAGCTGGCATCCAGGCTGTGGCATTTCGCTACTCCTTAGAAACCAAAACCAGTTTACTGTGGACATTCCAAAACCGCACTGGGTAAAATTCACCAGTGGGGGAGGAGGGGCATTTTAACTACCTGAAACATGTATCAAGTTGGATCAGTAATGCCTTACACACGTGTATCAAGCTGGCTCATTAACACCTTACACACGTGTATCAAGCTGGATCAGTAACGCCTTACACACGTTTGCAGAGCATAGAGCATCCCAAAAGCAGCAAAGGAGGCACCCAGGGAACACGTCTGGTGGGTGGTGTGCAGCGTGGTTTTGCACTCACATGGAGCTAAGGTCAAGCCCCGCTCGTCACTTCATCGCCATGTAACTTGGGGCCAGCCCCAGAACCTCTGAATATTTGTCTCCACACTAGTAGAATGGGTCGCTGCCACCTACCTGAGAGTTGCTGGGCAGATCATAAGGGATAACTGACACTATGCCCTTCACACAACATGTGGGTGAGTAAGCAGGGGCCCATGGTACTAAGAGTGACAATAATAACAGTTGTCTCTTGTTATTATTATTATTATTTTTTTTTTGAGATGGAGTCTCACTCTGTCACCCAGGCTGGAGTACAATGGTGCGATCTCAGCTCACTGCAACCTTTACCTCCCGGGTTCAAGTGATTCTCCTGCCTAAGCCTTTGAAGTAGCTTGGACTACAGGCACGTGCCACCACACCTGGCTAATTTTTGTATTTTTAGTAGAGACAGGGTTTCACCATGTTGGCCGGGTTGGTCTCGAACTCCTAAGCTCAGGTGATCCACCCACCTCAGCCTCCCAAAGTGCTGGGATTACAGGCGTGAGTCACCAAACCTGGCCCCATTCTCTATTACTTTAATAAAGATAATATCATAGAGCCAAATAAAACTATAGTGCAAGTACTGAATTAACTAATTGTTCTAAATTGGGGGAGCAAGCTGCTAAGAGAAAATATACAAATTACAGTGTGACACCCTGTCTAACACCCAGGCAGTCCATTTTCTTTTTTTCCTGTATCTTTTCTCATACCTGTGGCAGGGAGGAAAGCTGAGAGGGCTGCACCTGCACCTTCCCAGGCGTGGGAACGTGGAGGGCCAGCGGTGCAGGCTGCGAGGGAGGGATGGGGAGTTGGCTGCTGGGGGGTGCAGGGATGGGAACATTGGGCTGCTGAGTCTTCACTGGGATTTGGAGCTGTGTCTGGGCCTCCACTGCTTGCGGCTGCTGTGCAAACTGCAGCGCAGAGGAGAGGGCTGCGGTGGGAACACCGGCTGGGGGCAGTCTCCCGGGCAGCTGCGGCAGTGGGGTGTGCAAGCTGGCGGCGTTCTGCACGGGAGGCCCCGTGGAGGGGTCATACTGCTGCTGACTCTGCCTCTGTCCAGTGAGCTGCGCGGCCTGCGGCGTGGGGGGCATTCCTCCTGCAAAATAAGAAAAGCACCAAGAGCACTGATTCCCAAGTGTGGCAGCTTCTACCAGTGAGTCACAAGGAAACATGTCTGACACCCCGGTGCTTATCCAAGACCTACCACACTCACACAAGAAGTCGGCCACAACTGAGCACACACAAAAGGAAAGAGAGGCGCTTGACCTTTGCAAGTCAGCATCAAGCAAAACAAGCACCAGATCACCACAGGCCATCCCCACAACGCGGCAATTAGGAAAAACACAGGAGTAAAAATTGTTGAAAGACACTATGACAAAGCGACGTGTGGCTCCCATTAGTGTGGCAAGAACATGTCTCCAGGGGCTTTGCATATGATATGGACTGGGACTCAGAGAAGTATCTCAATTTCAGGCACCCCACTGCAAACACGCTACCTCCACTGCCCAAGTTTGAGTCTGGTGCTGATTTCTGGAACCGCAGTGTACCGCCTGCTCCTGAGTGGGGAGCTGGCTCTGCTGCTGGGCCTTACCTTGTGCGGTCGGCATTAGCTGCTGGAGAGGAACGCCTGCGTCCGCCCCCGGGTGCTGGAAAACTACCCCTTGGTGACCCACTTCAAGGCGAGGCCTCTTAGACTGCTCTAGAATAATTTTCAAAAAAGGTGCAGTTTGATGTAAAAATAAAACCAGAAAAGTAGTAGAAAAAAACATGTGTGTTTTTATCATCTTTGAACAGGGAGGCCTTTCTATACATTAACTAAAATCCAGAAGCCATAAAAGATAAGGCTGATAAATACAATTTCTCATTAAAATGTTGCCAATATAAGAAAAAGCTTCATAACAAGGCCAGGGACAAGCAACAACCCAAGAGGCAACACTGCAACGCGTGCGACGGACAGAGTTGGACTCGCTCAGCACTTGGAAAGCACAAGCACACGAGGAGCAGCACAAGCACACAGACGGCAGCATGGAGAGCGAGCAGTGGGGGAGAGCGAGCAGCGGGGCAGACTCCCAGACGCCCAGCACACAGGGAATGAGGCTGCACAGTGTGCTCAAAACTAAAGAAATCCAAATCAGAACAAGGATTTTTTCACCCATCAGAGCAATGAGGATTAAATGACTTATACCTAATAAAACGATCAAAATGTGAAAGAACCAGCCATTGTTGATGGCAGTGAAAACTGGCCCTGTCCTTTTGGTGGGCAACTGAGCACCATCATTACCTAACTACACCTGCGCTTTGATGTAGCAATTTCATTTCCAGGCATTTTTCCTTTAGATATATTGACAGACAGTCGGGTGCGGTGGCTCACGCCTACAATCTCAGCACTTTGGGAGGCTGAGAAGACTTGAGCCCAGGAGTTCGAGACCAGCCTGGGCAACATAGTGGGACCCTGACTGTAGCCAAAATGCAAAAAGGCTTGCATGGAGCCAGGCGTGGTGGCGGCGCCTGTAGTCCCAGCTACTCAGGAGGCTGAGGCACAAGATTTGCTCGAGGCTGAAGTGAGCCATGATGATGCCATTGCACTCCGGCCTGGGCGAGCCAGACCTTATCTCAAAAAATAAGGAGATACACAGACTGATAAACATGTAGGAAAAAAAAAAACATGAGACTACATGTTCAATCCTCAGTTCACTGTAACAGATAAAATGTGGCACTAACAGATGAACACTGACAAGGATCTGACTGATAAAGAACCAACCATCCCCATGATGAAACAGCACGTGGCACTAAGAGAGGGGTTATGACTTGAAGAGATGGCCTTTTCAGTTAATATTCTTAGACATAACAACATACATACAATCCGATCGCATCTGAACTTTTTCAAAGTATCACATATGTAACAATGCTTGTGTATGGAGAGGAAGGTCTGTGAGAGAGAATATGCGAAACATTAACAGTGGTTACTGCTGTGGCTGGGGAGTGGGCAGGTACCAAGCCAGAGGTAGGCTTAAGTTATACTCTACTGAACTGTTGAAGTCTTTTATATAAAAATGTATTAAGTTTATTATTTGAAAAAAATCAGCTTAAAAATATGACAACTTCAGAAAGCAGATGATTTTGTGTTGAGCTACACTGTGGTGACTCAAGAGCCTACAAATGCATACAGAAAATCAATATGTAATATACCTGCTCAACTGAAAAAGTCCTCACCTCAAGACACAGAAAAACTCACATAAATATTGTTCAGCTGATAATCACCATAAGAGAGGTTAATTTTCCAAGTAGGAAGAAATCAAGTTCAGCAACTGCTCTTCAGAAACTCATGGCAACTGTACCTCGGCAGCCCAAGAAGAGGGGGGCATTCCAAAGGCCACGCTAGCTGTGCCCTGACATACCTGCCATACCCGTGGAGGGCATCGCCTGCTGCCTCTTAAACAGGTCCGTCTCTACTGTGCTTCCGGCCCCTGCTACCAGGCTCCCTGCGAGGGCTTGCTGCTGGGAAAAAAGATGAAAACATGAAGGCCGTTACAAAAATAAACTCAAACCATCATAATTATCCCAAACATCGACCTCATTCCTTTTTAATAACATAAATGTTATCTACCCCGTGTCTTTAAATATACATGTGTAATGTATATTTATGTATAATAAACAATTTAAAGTTCTAACTTACCTCTGGAGGAAAAAAGACTTGTAAAAGACTTATTATTCTGGTTTTAATGGAATTTCAAATCAATGCAAACCTACAGTCCTTGGGAAACTAACTAGCTTTGCACACTGGATGATAACAAAAGGCCTAATGCTGGGAAACGAGTTTCAGTTCTGAGACAAAGCTCAGCCGACCCATCAGTCACACTGCCCAGCATAACTTCACATCCAAAAACACCAAATAATAAAAAGGTTAAATTGCCTTTCTACTGGAAAATGACACTAAAACCCCAATTAATAACTATCTAATTAACTTAGATTTTGTTTGTTTGTTTTTGAGACAGAGTCTCACTCTGTTGCCCAGGCTGGAGTGCAGTGGTGCAATCTCGGCTCAGTGCAACCTCTGCCTCCCAGGTTCAAGCCATTCTCCTGCCTCAGCCTCCTGAGTAGCTGGGACTACAGGCGCCTGCCACCACGCCCGGCTAATTTTTTGCATTTTTAGTAGAGACAGAGTCTCATTGTGTTAGCCAGGATGGTCTTGATCTCCTGACCTCATGATCCACCCGCCTTGGCCTCCTAAAGTGCTGGGATTACAGGCGTGAGCCACCGCACCCAGCCAACTTAGATCTTTAAAATGATATTTTTATAGTTAGCACCCTACTTGAGACATACATACGTGAGATATATAGAGATATAAATAGACAGATGTTATTTAAAACGTTTAAAGAGAAAAAAAGCCATCACCAGGCATGGTGGCTTACGCCTGTAATCCCAACATTCTGGAAGGCTGAGGTGGGAGGATCGCTTGAGGTCAGGAGTTCAAAACCAACCTAGGCAACACAACGAGATCCTGTCCCTACAAAAATATAAAAATTAAAATATTAGCCAGGCATGGTGGCACACGCCTGTAGTCCTAGCTACTCAGGAGTCTTGAGCCCAGGAGTTTGAAGCTACAGTGATCTAGGACTATGTCACTGCACTCTGCATTCTAGCCTGGACAACAAAGTAAGACCTCATCTTTTAAAAAAATAAAATGAAAGAAGCCAATCTGGAAAGGTGACATGCTACATGATCCTAACTCT